AAAAAAAAAAAAAAAAAAAAAAAGGGATATATGAATGTTATGAGTTGAAAAGGAATGTCAGAGGAGAGCTAGATTGGAGAGGAATTTGAAGAGAATGGCTTTGATATAGTAAATGTGAGGAATCTGAATAAATAAAGGTTAAGGATATCTATCTAGTGATATTTGAGAAATATAGCTCTGAAGTTTAGAAAAGGTTTCAATTCTGGAAAATTAATATAGGTGACTTTATAAAATCATGAAACATGCTGTTTGATATCTCAAAAGTGAGAGTAAAGTTGAAAATGGAACCTTTTATACAATAAAGGAGATGGCAGAATGTTACCTTTTCTTCATCCTTATTGAGACTCTCTGTCTTTTGTTCTCTTTCCTTCTGTTTACTTCATCTCTTATTGACACTGCATGGTCCATGTTAACTAAGTTTGATTACTTGATTAAGGTGTGATCTACCACGTTTGTCCATTGAAGTTACTGTTTTTCTCTTGGCAGTTCATAAGAAATTTGTGAGCAGATATTTCACACTTTTACACACCAGTTTTAGTAAACTTTACCTTCATTCTTATTTTGTATGTTGTTACCTTTTTCAGTGGTGCTATTTTGGGTTACTGCAACCTCCACCTCCTGGGGATGTTACATTTTTAATCAAGTGGAATATGCAAACAAGTGTTTTGTTTTTTTTTTAATTCTACTTTTCAAAGGCCACCACTTTTAATACATTCTGTGTTTTTTATTGTTCTATATAAAATAGTTGTTAATGCAGAGATCATTAGTGTTTTCTAATCCTATCTCCTCACCCATAGTTTTAGTGTTAGGACTCTTGCAGCATTCAAAGGACAAAATTTCTAACAATATAGTCTATTAGCTTCATATAATGTCATATTTTAATTTGCTTTGTATTTGGACCATGGTTTCTTAATCAGGTTTTGTTTTTTTCTGGAGTTTCTATTTACTTTTACTTTTTCTCATTGAGAAAAAAATCATAGTTTCTTTATTAAGTGATTTAATATTTTCCAGTTCCTTAGTCCTTTTGTCTATTGCTTGAAATACATTCCCTTTGTCTTTGGAGACATTTTTCATGGAGCCATTTAATTAATTTCTTGGCCTAATTTCTTGATGTCAGTTTCTGTAACATCTCTCATTTTGGGATTTCTTTTTTCCTAAATTAGTTCCATATCTTTCTCTTTCTGAGTTTACATCCTGGATTTGTTGGAGAATATCTTCAAATGATTACCTCAGAACAGGCGCCTGGGAAGTAAAGTTTCTGAGTCTGCGTCTATTTGAAAGGGACCTTATGCAGCCCTCCTATTTGGTTAATAATTTAGCTGAATGTGAAATTATAGGTTCAAAAGTTATCTTCCTTAAAAATGATGGATGGTGGTACTGGGAAAGGGAATATATGAAGCATAAAATTTATTTATATGGTTTTATAGCTTTAAAAAGTGAAAAATACTTAAAGGTCTTAAAAGTTAGCATTGTTTCACAGGTAGAAGTCTGCTGCTAGTCTGATTCTTGCCCTTTAATCTTTAAAAATTTTTTTAGTTTAAAACAATTTTCCCTCAGTGAAAGCATGTTCCTTTTATCCTTCCTGTTTCAGGAATTTATGAAACATGGCTAGCTATGGGTTTTATTTCCTAGTTTCTGCTTGGTATTTGATGGGTGCTTTTAATAAAGACTCTCCTTCAGCTTAGAGAAATTTAAAAAATTATTTTCTTAATAATTTTATCTTATTTTTTTCTTCCTTCTGCTTTCTTTTTCTGGAATTGGTTCTCTGCTCTCTTATCTTTTTCTCTGTTTCCATTGGTTTTTGTTGTTGTTGTTGTTCTAAGTTCTATGAGATTTCCCCAATTTTGCCTTCTTTTCCTTCAGTTGATTTAAAAATTACAGGAGTCATATTTCTAATTTTCAAAAATTCTTTCTCTTTTTCTTGGATTTTCTTACATTCTGTTCTTATTTTATGAAAACTGATTATCTTCAGTCCCTCTAAAGATTATAAAGACCATATAGCTAGTTAGAAAAGCTCAATAACCCCTTAGACTTTCTGTTCATTTAGTCATGTCCATTGTTGTCATTCAACCCGTTTCATTATTCATTCATTCATTCACAAGTCCTTTCACTAATACTTATAAGTACCTTTCATATTATGGGCACTGTTCTAGGTGCTAGGAGTACAACAGTGAAAAACAAAAATCTCTATTATCATATAGCTTATATTCTAGTAGGGTAGACACAAAATAAGATATTAAATAAAAACTATATTATATTGGATAGCAATAAAAGCTAAGGAGGAAAAAGTATTGAGCAAAGACCTTAAGGAAAAGGAGAAAGGAAATGCTGGCATCTGAGGGATAAAATTTTCAGGTAGAAATTTTCAAGTACGAAGATACGATCTGAGAGTGTTTGCGGAACAGCATAGAGGCCACCATGGTTGTAGCCAAGAGAAAGGGAGGGAGAGTAATGGAAGTTGAGGCCAGAAAGGAAACTGGAAACCAGATGTAAGGCCTTAGGGGACACAAGATAAAATCAATGATAACTACAAGTTCGAGGCCCGAGCAATTAAAATAATGTAGCAGCCATTATCTAAGATGAGAAAGACTCAGGAATTTATGGAGATGAAAAAGCTATTTAAGGAGTAGGTAGGGGGTGTGTATCATGAGTTCAGTTGGAGGTGTTAAACTTGAGATGTTGTATAGGATATTGGATAAGCCAGCCTGGAGTTCAGAGGAGAGATATGAATTATAAAGTTATAAATTTGGGAGTCATCAATATAAAGCTGACATTTAAAGCCAAGAGATTATATGAAATTGCTTTGAAGGGAGCATAGGTAGAATAGAGAAGAGGTTTAAGGACTGAGCCCTTGGGCTTCCAAGAGGTCAGGAAGGTCAGAGAGATATAGAAGAAACAATAAAGAACAGAGTAATAAAGTTGAAGGAATATCAGGAAAATGTCCTGGAAGCCAGAAGGAAAGTATTTCAAGGGAAAATGCCGCTGATGAGT